ATATTCTAATTTGTTGAGATAGTGAATTGGTGGGTTTTTGTTAAATGTGAGCCAAAATCATCCCAATTAAAAGAACCAAAGACTTAAACTACTTCAGTCTGTGTGCACTGTATTTATTTAATACACGAGTTTCACAATTTGAGTTGAATTACTGAAATAAATGAGCTTTTCCATGACATTCTAATTTATTGAGATGCACCTGTATATATGGCTACAGTTAATTAAAACTAAAACCATAAAATAACTGTTGTTACTTGAAATAAATAAAATAAAAAACCTTGTTTAAAAAAATTTCATTGTTTAACTTGATGTACTATAAAAACAAAAACTGAAATTATATATATATATATATATATATATATATATATATATATAGCCTAATATAAATAAGTGTAATTTCTTGATCCTCAACAGACGTTTATATTTTCATATGTGCTTTTTATGTTGAGTTTAAATTCAATCAAATTCATGAATTGAGTTTAAATGAATTCCACTTAGAATGCAAATTAAGCGATGGTGTTATCTAAAATCAGTTCTTCCCCATTTACTTTCCTTGAACAAAACAGAAAAGAAACCCCAGGTTAAGACAGAAGAGCGCGAGCAGCCCAATCACTGTCCCCGCACAGCGTGTCGTCACACGTCCTGCAATCTGCTTTGATTTTAGAGCCGCTTGCTCAGACTGCCGCTGGATACATTGTAACAGTGATGAAGAGCTTCGGCGGATTACGAGCCGCTTTTCACATATTCAGAAGAGACCTCCATCATCATCACTGTGTGGGAATAATAGGTGCACCTTTCTCTAAAGGACAGGTGAGATATAAAGCCCCCAAACACGTCCTCGTCTCTTTTCAAATAATGATATTCACGTATTAAAAAAAGAATATGTTTGCATAAAAATCCCTGCATGGTGCAGTATGGTAGTGGTCCAGTGCTCATGTTACTGACTGTTACTGCAGCAGAGGGATGGTGTGCAGAGAGGAGCAGACCTCATTCGAGTTGCTGGATTGGTGCAGAAACTTAAAGAGGAAGGTACCACTACTACACCTCCTGATATTTACACTGCTTTTATTTACACTATTGCCGATATTTACACTCTATGTCACATAGTACTGAATAAAATTAAGAACATTTACTTACTATAGAGTTAGGGTTAGGATTTTGTTTAGGGTTGCATATAATTAAGCGTAATTTCTTGCTATTACAATAGTAAGTACATGCAACACGGACACAGTAAAATAAAGGGTTACCATAATTTCATATTCAGAAACATTAATTTTATATGTATAATAACTTATATGGTTACACTTTATATTAATTGCAGCGTAATTATGCATGTAAGGGTTTGGCTTATAGGGTTACTTGCATGGAATTATGCATAACTAATTGTTATTATTATAGTAAGTGCATGTAACATGTGTAACAAGGACACCTTAAAATAAAGTGTTACCAGAACAGTCAAAAAAAACTTAAAGTGTTACCCTTATATTAATTTATATATATATATATATATATATACAGTGGGTACGGAAAGTATTCAGACCCCCTTAAATTTTTCACTCTTTGTTATATTGCAGCCATTTAAATGTAAAAATGTGATTAAATGTGGTTAAAATGGATGAAAATATTAAATTATGACTAGCTATAGCATCTAAAAAATATAGACTGTACAGTATATGAATTCATTTAAACTTTAACCTAAATCTTGATGTAAAAATGGTAATTTGTTATTTGTCAACTAGCCATTACACAATACCTGCAACTGCTAATGTGTATTTTAAGGTAAGGTAACATGCAATTGTTATTTATCATTGCCATTTTTGTAAAAAGGGTCTTTATTTGATCTGTCTAACTGTCTGTTGTTGCATAAATGTTTTATGGCTTTAAACAAACAGCTAGAGGGACTGATGCAAGGACAGCAGATCAGTGCTGCCATGTGTGGTTTTTATTTATTTACCTAAGATGCGATCTCATAGGAGCAGTAACACTGACGTTGCACCATTCCCCTTTTTGTGTATTTGTGTGCAGTATTGTGGATTGAGTTCTGTTACTGAATAAGAGTGAAGCGTGTATTTGCACAAACAAACCCAGTAATGTTTAATGCTGTTACTTCAAAACTTGAGTTGAAAGTAGAACAGAGAACTCTATAGGTCTTTAAAGTTAAATCAGTGACAGACTGGCTTAAATGATTTATTTAAATATTCATTTCAAGATTTTTGACATATTTGAAGGATACTTTTAACAGCATTCATTCAATAACTGAATAGCACACTCCCTAAGTGAACGTTCAGTTTTGTTTTGTTTTTTAAAGAGCTGTTTAACAGCAGAATTGATCTCTATTTGTATAATTGTATCAATATTTTACTTTTTATCGTTGTAAAACTACTTTGAAACAATCTGTATAAAGCACTGTATAAATAAAAGTGACTTGACTTCACATGCAATGGGGTCACTGCACAGTGTACTTGTTAGTGTAGTTATATAATCAAGTATTGAGCAAAGAGTAATGAACAAATAACATGAACATGGACTTATTATTCAATATCAGTCTCCAGCCTGCCAGTTTTTTTTTTAAATAAATAAATAATATAATATAATATAATATAATATTTTTTATTGAAGATAGTATTATATAATATTAATTGTTTTATTCTATTATTAAATATGTATAATTATATTAATATTTTTCAAAATATAAAGAAAAAAGAGGTGAGAGAGAAACACTTCCACAAACTCTCAACCTCATGCCACACTTTCCAGTTCCGAAGAAATGGATGAAATGAACGGATGAATAATAATAATAATAATAATAATAACCTTACTCTAATTCTACCTTCTTTGTTATTGTAATATGATAAATTAATTGAGATTTATTTTTCTTTTATATTTTTGGTGTAATAATAATGCTTAGGCAATATTGTATGTACACACAGTCATGCCAATAAAGTATTTTAAATATATTAAAAAGGGAATGGAAAAATGAATGGTAACTCAAACCTTATGCTGTGCATCAAAACAATATATTATGGATATATGTTTAGTGAATGACTTACATTTTGGTGTGTTCTTCACATAAATCATAAGATTTGTGGAAACATAGTGCATAAGTCATTTTGGAGCCCAACAGCCAACACATTAAAAAAATTGTATGTATGTATTTAAGCCAATCTTTCGTGTTTCATTTATTTATGAGTGACAAATATCCATCACATTAAAACTGTGTAATCCAAATGGATGGAAACTTTATATTGTAATGATTGTATGTATGGAAAAGAATGGTCAGTACACGTTTCCTTTCGTGTTCCGTGCTAAAACTATCGTTATGTGTAAATGATGACACAAAGCCCTTTGTCCCTCTCCAGGTTGTGTAGTGAAGGATTATGGGAATCTGACGTTTGAGGACGTTCCCAATGATGAGCCAGTTGGCAGACTGAAGACTCCGAGAGCAGTCGGCCGTGCCAATGAGCTGCTCGCAGGAGCTGTGCAGAAGGTCAAGAGCGATGGAAACACTTGTGTGATGCTGGGAGGAGATCACAGGTCATCGTGTGCTTTCACTTCTGTTCAATTTCATATTTGGAAGCAGGAAATCGTTGTTGAACCTATTCTCAGAAATGGGTTTGCTGGTTTTTACAGCTTGGCGATTGGTTCGATCTCTGGTCATGCCGCCTCAAGACATGAGCTGAGTATTTTATGGGTGGATGCACATGCAGACATCAACACACCTTCAACCACGCCAACGGGAAACATTCACGGCCAACCGCTGTCGTACCTCATCCATGAACTGCACTCAAAGGTGACTGATGGTCTTGAATCATTTCAGCACCTTTGTTAATGTTTGCGTAATATGTTACATAGTTATTACGTTACTGTCAGTCTCATCACCAAAAAAAATAAAAACTCCTAAAGAGCTGTTCAACTGTAACATCCTGACCATGCATGGCTCATAACTAATAAACATCAACAACTTACTTCATAGAAACATTCATAGAAAATTTCATAAAATTCTCAGAAAAACACATCAATGTCCTTTAAAAAATTTTTTAGTTATTTTGCTTTGTGACATTACTTTTATGCACCAATTAGAACATTTATCCTTAAATTCCCATTAACATAATATCACATTTAACTTTTTTTTTTTTTTGGCTATTGCTAGTAATTCAAGATTCTCATTACTTATTCTCATTATTTTCATTCTAATAGTCAATATTTATTAATCACCATAAATTAAAAACAGTATAACGCATATAAGAATGATATATATATATATATATATATATATATATATATATATACACACATACATACATACATACATACATGTATATATAGAGAGAGAGAGAGAGAGAGAGAGAGAGAGAGAGAGAATTTGTTCAAATTACAATAATGAAAATGAGACTTTGAATTATGTTAATAAGAATTTATGTAGGAAACCAGCTTATTCTGCAAAAAAAGATACAAAAACTTCAACAGTGGTAAAATAGATTTTCATTCCTTTTTAGCAAAATATAATTTCCTGTTAATATATTCTATTCCTGTTTGGTTTTTGGGTAAAATATTACTATAAATAGGTTCCTCCTGTCCTTTAGCTTTACTTGAGACAACGTTTTATGATTTGAAACATTGATAATATTTTGTACTTTTTTTCCCCTAATGTTTCTTAGATTCCCATAATTCCAACTTTTTCATGGTTAAAACCTTGTGTAGCAGCTAAGGACATTGTCTACATTGGGCTCAGAGATGTGGACCCGGGAGAACAGTAAGTTTGTAGATTCTACAAAATCATACATGCATCACATCACTATTTCAAGATTCTTTTTGAAGTTCAAATCATATTTTACGTCACAGTTATATCCTGAAGTACCTTGGAATCAAAGCCTTCTCCATGACAGAAGTTGATCGGCTTGGAATAGCAAAAGTCATGGAGCAGACATGCGATCACATGTTTTCAAAGTAAGTGTGTGACTTATTTTCTATTTACCATGACCTAATATTGTATTGAGGAAACAATCTTTCTGGATCAGGGTGAAAAAACCCATCCACCTCAGTTTTGACATTGATGCACTGGACCCATCAGTGTCACCTGCAACAGGCACACCTGCAGGGGGAGGCCTGACCTACAGAGAGGGGATCTACATCACTGAACACATCTGTCAGACAGGTGAGAACATGAGGATATGTAGATCTGTCGTTGGAAAGAGATTTCTAAAACTTCCAGGCTAATAAGCCGGCAGCTGTTTGGCCTTTCTGAAATTATTAAAGGGGTCATATGATGCGATTTCAAGTTTTTCTTTCTCTTTGGAGTGTTACAAGCTCTTGGTGCATAAAGAAGATCTGTAAAGTTGCAAAGACTAAAGTCTCAAACCCAAAGAGATATTCTTTATAAAAGTTAAGAGTCAACCAGTTAGTGTTGAAGCAGCATGTCAGGGAGATGCTGTGTGATTCAGTGCGAAAGCAAAAGCACTTTATTTGGCCTTCCGGAAGTAGATGCAATTAGAAATCATTGGCTAAGATTTATTTACAACAGAACAGCACAACCCAGATGTTTGAATTTGTGCAATGCATTTTATGGACGACAGTTTTTTGAACCTAGAAGAGTACAAGGCCGGCTGTGCACAAAGGCTATTTCTAAGAAGAAAAAAAAAAGGGTAAATTCCGACTTTGCTATGACAATCTGGCGCTTCTGAATCAGCGACTGTAAGTATGTTTTGTTATTAGTTTAAGTTTGCTATTGACTGTTCAAATGCGGAGTTTTGCGCCACGCAGAGTAACGCTTCGTGTGTGTGTGTGTGAGAGGGGAACAGGGTCACATCACAGGCGAGTGAACTGTCTGTCAGAAATCATAGCACGTCAGCTGTCTTAACCGCGGCTTGTGTACTGCATCATCACTGTGTCTGTCACGCGACTCTGTTGCCCTTTCGGGCTTGAACTGATGCAGTTTTTTGAACCTAGAAGAGTACAAGGCCGGCTGTGCACAAAGGCTATTTCTAAGAAGAAAAAAAAAAGGGTAAATTCCGACTTTGCTATGACAATCTGGCGCTTCTGAATCAGCGACTGTAAGTATGTTTTGTTATTAGTTTAAGTTTGCTATTGACTGTTCAAATGCGGAGTTTTGCGCCACGCAGAGTAACGCTTCGTGTGTGTGTGTGTGAGAGGGGAACAGGGTCACATCACAGGCGAGTGAACTGTCTGTCAGAAATCATAGCACGTCAGCTGTCTTAACCGCGGCTTGTGTACTGCATCATCACTGTGTCTGTCACGCGACTCTGTTGCCCTTTCGGGCTTGAACTGATGGTAAAACTAACGACATTATTAACTGTCTTGATATTTACTTGATATTTAGCTGAAGCTCGCGATTATGGTAAGGGGCGTTACATTTCTGACACGTGCTTGTGTTGTTCGGCCAATCACAATGCACTGGGTCAGCTGGCCAATCAGAGCAGACTGCGCTTGTCAAAGGAGGGGGCTTTGACACGTTTGAGAGAGGCGGGGCATAGAGGACCTACAATAATGTACAGTATTTGAAAAATAATGTGTTTTTGAACATTTAAAGCATGTCAATATATTCTGTTACACCAAATACACAAAATAATGATCTTTAAAATAGCATCATATGACCCCTTTAACCAAAAATCCGAGCCCACTTTGCTGCTTAACAAATGTGTTAGCTCCCCCTTGTGTCAGTTTCAAAACCTACCAACAACCCAGTTAATAAATAAAAATATAGTAGAAAACAACAGTACAATAAGTGTTTAACTACTTTTGTATGCATCTCAGTAAAGTGAATTTAATAAATCGACATGATTCTCTCTAGAGTGCACTCTAGATCAGCTATTAAAAGCCATAGCCAAAAGCCAAATGCTAAATGAACAAATTTCATTATCATAATCCTTCGTGGTCTTTGTTTGGCATGTTGATATGAATGTATGTTCTCGACTTCCCTCCAGGACTTCTCTCTGCTGTAGACATGGTGGAAGTGAACCCAAAGCAGGGCAAAACAGAAGACGAAATTAAATCAACAGTAAATGCTGCTGTGGATCTGTTATTGGGCTGCTTCGGACGGGTCCGTGAGGGGTCTCATGATCCAGATTACAAAATCCCAAATTTATAAATCACAGGCTTTATTATATATATATATATATATATATATATATATATATATATATATATATATATATATATATTTATATATATTTACTTATTGTCATAATTTTTAAGCCATCATGCCATTCTGAATTTAAAAATAATTTAAAATTGTAATTCCCATTTATTTTATTCCTGTATAAAAATGAATTCCAAAGATGATTATACAACAGTATACTGCAATGTGCAGAAAGTACAAAGCTGTACATAAGGTACGATTGTGTTTTTGTTTTGTTTTTTCAGATGCAACATCATTTTAATTAAAAGGCCATTGTTGGCAAGTAAATAAGACAAAGTAAAAATATATTTAAAAATGTTTTCCAAAAGTTTTTTTTACACCAGTGACAAATCATTTTATTGGGAAAAAAAATGTCATTTATTTTTCTATGATATTAATAATAGTGTCTGACACTATAATAGAAATGTAACACCTGTCAACCACTTTACTAAAACAAGGGTTTGACATTTTGCTGGTTATGTGTGGATTTATAAGAAAAACACACACAAAAAATTACAGAACATCTTCAGTTTGCCTGGTATCAACACAGTAAAGCTGTTCACAGACTAAATCACAGGCTTTATTTTTGTTATTTTGGCTTTTTGTTCTATTATTTTTACTTGATGTCATCAAGTAGGCCATGTTGAATTTAAAAACTGAATTATAATTCAGCTGTACATAAAGTATGTTTTTCCAGAGGCAACATTATTACAATAAAAAAAACATTGTTGTAGGTTAACAATAAAGAACTAAAACTAGAACTATAATGTAAAATGATATTTAAAAACAATCAAAATGTTTTCCACTAAATTCATACAAGATGCCAATTGTAATCATTTTTGTAGAAAAATATTTTTTTTGTGTTATTTTTCTGTTATATTTATTATTGTGTCTCTGGCACTCTCCGAGTCATCTGTCACCTACTCAGTTGTCAATCAACCACTGCACTGAAAAATTAGCAGTTTGGAATAAGTGTTCAAACTATTTGCACTTTCTTATTTACTTTTAAATAATATAATTGCCAAAATTAAACCATCAATTTTTTTACTTTTGGAATGCAAATGATGCAGGGTGTAAAAATCACTAGTACATTTTGGGACCTTGCCACAATTTTTGTGATCATTTCCAAAGAGATGGTGAAACGAATGCCACGGGCACTCATATAAATATAAAATATGAATTCTAACAATTATTTATAGTTATATATAAGTTGTTATTATAAAAGACAAGGGCACAAGTGAAGCAAAAATAATTTTTATTCGACTGTCTCCTATCGTTCTGTGAATGTTGCGAACAAGCATTTTGTGTTCTTTCTGGCATTTGTCACTTTGGTCTGGCTGTCAGTCAGAATAAGTGTTTGAGATATGCTGATATGATGCCATTATACAATAGCTAATAGCTAAAGGCCTGTTTGTAAAGGAGTGTTGTCAGGAATAGCTCTATCCTTTGAAGCCCTGGTGTGCAATGACAAAAGGCACTAACAGAGGTAATGTAACTGTAGGCTGGCTCACACACACATACTTTTCAGTTAAAAATAAATGTGACAGGTCACACGTTGGCTGCTGCAGACATAGTGGACATGAACAGCAGTTCTGTTCATGTTTTCAGAGTCCAGGGGGAGGAGTGCGTGAAGAAGATGGTGGAGGTGTTTGATCAATCTGTCTCTTTCAGGCCGCATGGTCTCCTGAATTCCTGACCTCTTTCATGGATCCATTTATTTGACACTAACGGACAGACAATGAGAGAAAGAACAAACGAAAAAGACATTAGACAGATTGTTCTATAATATTTCTGTAAGAAATTCATCTCAATGGTGGCTATGCCTTCAGAAAAGTAACAGGGTTGAAAGTTTATAATGTTTAGGAAGCTTTAGATTGTTGATATTTCAATACTAACTATTACCTTATAAATTATTTTTTACATTTTTTATTTTAACAAGGGATAATTATGATGGTAACAGGGTTGACACAACATGACTTCAAGACTTTTAAACGATAGATTATGCCAGCAGGAAATACTCATGAAAAAATAGGTTTTATTTTGACTAACTATTTGCTGAAGTGCATAAATTAAGAGAAAAAGATATGTAGTGCTGATGGTAACATAGTTGACATTTTAAGATAAAGCTTAAGATGAATACTTATGTGTCTTCACTTCCTGAAAAGATAGTCATTAAGAGGGTTTTTTTTTAGTTATGGGATAAAACATTATTTTGTTATGATGGTAACAGGGTTGACATATACATATGTCATATGTATATATATATATACATATATAAAACACTAATACAAGAGTTTTAAATGATGGATTATGTAGACTTAAATGTGCTTATTAGCTAATACAGCAGGAAATACACATGAAGAAAGTAAAAGGTTGATAGTTTAATCTGACTTAAAAAAAAAATTATTAGAAAAAATAAATGTAATGATGGTAACTGTTTATTATTTAAGATGTGATGTGATTTAAGAAATGATAAGATGTAATGTTATTTAAGAAATGATGATAAAGTCAGTAAGAGTTTTTATTTTAATTTATGAAATAATAATTTTAATGAGCGATAATTATGATGGTAACAGGGTTGACACATAACAGGTTTTCAAGACTTAAATGAAAGATTATCAGCTAAAATGTGCTTTTTTGTTAACAGCAGGAAATACTTCTGAAGAAATAAAAGTAAAAGGGTTGATAGTTTAATCTGACATCACTAACTATTTGCTCAAGTGCATGAATTATTAGAAAAAAGAAATTTAATGCATAGTTGACTAGGGCTGTGCGATATGACGATATATATCAGATGGATGAAATAAAAAGTCTATCGTTTCATATTATAGGGACTACATCTGTAGTATGGACACGCGTTTTTAAGCACTGCAGTTTTAAAACAACCGATTTTAAGCCATTGAAACACAAACAACAGAGCTATATGCGTGCGCCGTCTCTGTTTCTGTGTGAGAGGAGTGTGCATTTTTTGCCGCTTTATTGGCTTTGAACGAATACATAAACACACTCTCAAATGCGTCAGAATCCCCGTTTTTGCAAGTATCCTCATAAACACAATAATTTAGGTCTTATGAGAGAGTAAACAGCTGAAAAAGAAAACGCATATGTAACAGTATATTGGATCCGGACTTCGGTCTTAATGGGGAAGCTGTCCAATATTAGTCCTGTCTGCCATTCATATTAATCAAACAACAGTGAGAGAAAATCTCTTACTGCTCTTGACTAAATAACTTTTGTAACTTTAATAAGAAGAAATTAAAAAATAATAATAATGATATATTTATATACAGTGGAAAGTATTCAGACCCCCTTAAATTTTTCACTCTTTGTTATATTGCAGCCATTTGCTAAAATCATTTAAGTAAAAAAATTTTCCTCATTAATGTACACACAACACCCCATAGACAAAAAAACACAGAATTGTTGACATTTTTGCAGATTTATTAAAAAAGAAAAACTGAAATATCACATGGTCCTAAGTATTCAGACCATTTGCTGTGACACTCATATATTTAACTCAGGTGCTGTCCATTTCTTCTGATCATCCTTGAGATGGTTCTACACCTTCATTTGAGTCCAGCTGTGTAGGTCAAAGGGAAGAGCTCAGAGACAGAATTGTGGCAAGGCACAGATCTGGCCAAGGTTACAAAAAAATTTCTGCTGCACTGCTGCACT